ATATATAATTAGTATTACTAGCTAACAAATTAAAGAACAGATAAGAGGAAAATTGATGATAGTCAGATCACAAGCAATCTGGTACTGCTGCATTACCAGAAGTAGTCTTCTTTATAGCAGAATGGGACTTCTTTGCTCTCTTCATTTTCAAGAAACAGAAGCTTAAAGCTAAGAGTAATATTATGCCAGTCACTGCTGACACTACAGATGCTACAATCACTTTTGCAGATGATTTTCCTTTATTCCCTGCACACAAACAAATAATGTTCCATTGTGTTGCTATGTATACATACTGCATTCAATAATTTGTAAAAGTTAATTTTTATTGTTTTTTATTGTTTATTTTTGACTAACAAGAGAAATCCGCAGCCACTATAAGAGGGTGTGTGCTGAGTAAACTCTGTTAACCTAAACTAAGAAGGTCAGTAGAAAGTTTTCACTGCGAGCCTGGTAATCTTATTGTTACCAAGTCAATCGCCCAACCAATTTGACTGGGATTGCTCTAATAGTTTGTTTAGGAATGACCAGAACAAGAGTAGTTTAATTACCTTTGCTGATAGCAGAACTGGGAACTATAGTTGTTGTTTGAGGAGGATGATGGATAGGCGGCGGTGGCGGCGGTGCCGCCGAGGGGGGGAGAAAGTAGAAAGGGTAAAGCTCATACCTAATGTTACAGCTCGGGAACAGAACCGTAGCACCTTGGTTTCCAAAACAACATAGACGCATATATTTAACAACATTTCTGAGACATATCTTACAGTCAACCTTAGAAAGGTCCGGAGTACACTGTCCAAGAGCGTACACCCTCTCCGCGGCGGCGCTAAAATTGGTTTGTAACACCGCAAATTTCTCACCGGAACCAATGGACGCTCGAGCGGTTATCTGATCCAACATGTTTCCGACCACCTTCATCAACTCGTCTGGTTTAGTATCGTTAAAGGGGTTTCTCATGGCGAACTGGGTCGACTGGTCGTCCATTATCCCCAGCACGGGGTTCTCCGAGTAACGCAACATGCAGTTAGCGAACCAAATCATGGCCGTCTTTTCGGAGTCGCAGAACACAAACACCATTTCACGAGCTTCTCCGACGCAGGTCTGGCAGTCGTGGGCGGAGACGTCGCCCCGGCACAAGACCAAGCCGTGCACGGTGTCGCCGGGACGGCTGCCGGCGACTGTGGCGTGGTAGAAGCCATTGTCTCGGGTGGCGTTGGAATAAAGATTGGAGAGAAGAGAATCGAGGTTGGCTTTGTAGGTGCTGTTAGGAGTGTAAGAAGTTGTGTTTTTGCAGTAAAAATGCCAGACAAGATCAGAGCTTCGAGCTTTGGCGATGAAGCTCATCAACAAGCAAAACCTGCAAATCATGATCATCATCGTATTAATTGTGAGGGGTATCACAGTAGAAGAACATATAATAAAATTTATTACGGACAATTTTGTATATATGCCGTGAAGAAGATATATGCATATATGGTGGGTTGTTTTATTTATTGTCGGAGGAACAGCTTAACGTGAAGGAAGGAGTAGAGAGGAGTTGCGGTTGGCAAGTTTTAAAATATACTCCCTAAATATGATGGTATGAATTAGAATAGGATTACCGGCATGGACAGCTTAACTGGTCAGAGGTGAAAATTTGAAAGAATGATCAGGGATTGAGTCTCAGCAGGGGAAGTGTGGGAGCACCCTCTCAAAGTGATGGGGTTTCTTGTGGTTCATGTTCAGTTGAGATACCATGAATAACATCCTCCCAGATGCTCTGTCCGGTTGGGGTTCAACATTTTAGAAGAATGAATTAGAATCGAGTTTATTTTGAACAGAAGAATAGAGTTTAATTACTAGCAAATAAGAATTAGAATTCAGGCATATCACTGAGTTAGAGTTAGCAGTGAGTGTATAACGGTATTTATTTATACTAGTAGATAGGATGTATGTTGGACTTCTGTAAACCCTGCGGAAAGACTTTTAGCCATCCACATTCCAAATTGCTCTCATTTTACTCAGTAAAATATGAATTCTACTAGCAGCATATAGTTATATTTGCAATTTTAATTTCTCACTATTTTTTTTTTATATCTTTACAATTGTAACTTATTTTTACATAATAATAATAATAATAATAATAATAATAATAATAATAATAATAAATCCCTGCAAACCACTTCGGCCTATTGAGGATGCTCTAAAGCAATCCCTGGATCCCCCTATTGAGGATGCTCTAAAGCATCGAGATTTTTGCACCTTTTAATTTTGCAATCCCTGCAAACTAGGGGTGTTCAATCGGTTAACCAAAACGGTTAACCGAACCGAATTAACCGAAGTTTTTTTTTCCTTTAACCGTTAACTGAACCGAAGTTTGCTCTACCGAATTCACCGGACCGAAATTTTTATCGGTTAATCGGTCGGTTAACCGAACTTTTTAAAGCTAAAATTTAAAATTCTAAAAATAACACCTAAAATAATAAATCCAATTAAAATAAAATACATATCATAATAAATTCATAGCAAAATATACAAAAACATTAATTATAAACTCCAAACATCTATAACTTCACATTAGTATTTATATTTATATTATTATTTATATATATATTAAAAACTTCGGTTAATTGTTCGGTTAATTCGGTTAACCGACCTTTCGAACCGAAAAAATTCGGTTCGAAAACGGTTAACCAAACTTTGTCGGTTCAGTCGGTTAACCGAAAATTATCCGAAGTTTGCACACTCCTGCTGCAAACCACTTCAACCTTAGAAACTAAGGGTCCGTTTGGAAAGTAGGAAAATGAATTTTGGAAAATGTTTTTCGAAAAATGAGTCTTTTTCCGGAAAACATTTTGTTTTCTCATGTTTGGCTGCATAGCAGAAAACTGTCTTTGTATGTTTGGTTGATTTTCTGAAAAATGATATAGAATTGTATAATTAAACATTTTATATAATTAATTATTTTGTTTAAAATATAAAAAAATTATAATAATATTATAAATAATAATAAATTTTTTTAAAATCACATAATATTATTTATTAAAAGAAAAAAAAAAACAAAAAAACGACGAAAACCAGAAAATTCTGGTTTTCGCCGTTCTCTCTGGTTTCCGGCCAGAAACCAGAGAAAAGCTCTCTGGTTTCTGGCCGGAAACCAGAGCGTAGCTCTCTCTAGTTTCTGGCTGGAAACCAGAGAGCACTGCCATCTGGTGTGTGGCCGAAAATCAGAGAGCACTGGTTTTAGACATTAATATATTATATTGAAAGAAGAAAACTTAGCTTGCAGGGATGCGCTTACTCTTACGGGGCGTTTGGTTGGAGGGAGTGAATTACGTGGGAAAGAAATTGCAATTTCATGGGAGATGAATTACTGAGAATAAAGTGGAAATTTAAATTCCAGTTTTTGGTTTATAGGAATAAAATTACTGAGAATTTCAATTCCAATGTTTGGTATACATGAGAATTGAAAGAGGATAAGTAGTATAAAGTCTAAAATGTCAATTGTTGTTGTTGTCAGGCATCAATTTTAGGTTTAAAAGGGGGAGGGGTAATTTTGTCTCATCATCAAAATGAAGGGGAATTACAATTCCTTCCAATCAAACTAAGAAATTTAATAGCCTTTAAAATTAGGTGGGAATTAAGTGAAAATGAAATTTAAATTTCCTCAAACCAAGCGACATGTTAGTTTAACTTACTTGTCCAAAGGATTTCGTTCTCCCCCTAAATTACATTGTAATAGCGTGTTTGAAGAGTTCGGAATTGTTATATAAAGTAAATATTGTACTGAATTTCATGACAATTTATATCGTGACTTTGACGATATTGAGGGATATAATAATTTTAAGAATATAATTAAAGAAAATACAATAGGGAATTAAGAGAGACAAGACTGGAATTTTGATTTTTGAATCTGAAAATTAAAGTCCAAACACAAATCCTCTCCCCGTGACCTCCGCTGCCCCATTCATACGTAAAAGACTTTTGGCATTTTGCATGGCATGCCAATTGCCATGCCAACTAACAAGTAGCGTTTTTTTCTTACCACACAAATTAACCACTCAAAGGTATATTTAGTCCAATCTACTTTAACTACATGTTTGGTTTACGTGGATGATTTTGAAGGAATAGTAAATAAAGGTATTCAATAAGAAATGAAATAGATAAAGAAATGAATATAAAGACACAAGGGTCAAATAGGGCAAATTATTGTCCATGGTCCACACAGTGTTATGTGGATCATAACAAAAAATACATTTTTAATATACTGAATGTACATTATTTTTGTACTGAATGTACATTATACAATATAATGTATATTCAGTACAATATAATGTACATCTCCTGAATACAATGTACATTATTTTTGTACTGAATATACATTATTTTACAATATACAAAATATGGTTCACACAATAATGATTGGTCAAATAGGCTCATATACTACTAGCTAATGCTTAATTAACTTTTGGATTAAAATAAGATCTAATTTCACACTTAAACTTCCTAAATTTTTTGCTTTTATCATTTTTTTTTTTCAGGAGGTTTTGTTTGGTTGAAAGTTAAGAAATTATATTTTTTAGATTTGCTTCATTTTCTTAAAAATGAACATATTATTTTTTATGAATGTTCGCTGCCTCATTCATACGAAGAAGACTTTTGGCATTATGCATTCTTCCAAAAGGTTGAACCCCAACCCTAAGAGCCTTTTGGCATTATGCATGGTTGACTAGTTGGTCAACAATATTTAATAAAAAATGATTTTTTACCTATGTCATGCCAACTTACAATTAGCTAAAAACATCTTGTGCTCAGCCAGCATCTTTGTAACTCTCCTTTAAGGAAGGTAACAAGATTAAACCCGGTGGTAGGTACAAAAATTATATTAAACTGATATTAGTGGATAGTACTAAAAAAAAAAAAAAAAAAAAAAAAAAAAAAAAAAAAAAAAAACTTACAACTAGCAATTTAATTTTATGCAAAAGTTCAAAACCGAGTTCAAAGTATATGAATCAAATATTAATAAAGCAGCTCAGTGGATGGAGCCCCAGAACATAATTCTTATATTTGAAGGTTAAGTTACATTCTTGCCAACAATTTTTCTATCCAATAGGTGGCATAGGATCTTCTTAAAATTATCTAGGATACAACTCTGATGTAGAAACTTAATTCTCAGACAATGGTTGTGGCTTGCTTCTGGATTGGTCCGTCTCTTCTCCTGCCGAAATCATCTGACTGAAACCGTTGAAAAATGCAGGTGGATTAGGTGTATTCCTTGTAGCAGAATGACTATTGAGCATCAGCACAACATTCGCCATTGTTGGCCTATCTTCCACCTCTTCTTGGACACACAACAACCCAACATGGATACATTGGATCACTTCATTTCTAGAATACAAACCTCCAAGACTTTGATCCACCATGTCTAATGCTTTGCCCTCCATCCAATGTTTCCAAGCCTGCAACATTAACCAAGCCAGTTCAATTCTCAAACCAGTATATATAAAATGTGCTTTAATAGTGTTTTTTTAGTGTTTCTTATGGATTTTTTTTTTTTTTTTTTGGTACTCACATAGCTAAGAAGATCTTGCGTTCCAGTTGAGTGCATGGACAAAGAACTGTTTTTCTTTCCGGTTATAATTTCCAAGAGTAGGACTCCAAAACTGAAAACATCTGACTTCACTGAAAACAAGCCATGCAAAACATATTCCGGAGACATGTATCCACTGCAAAATCATAACATAAATAAAGGATCGAATCAAAACAAGAACGGTTACTGTTGTAAGTTTCTTTAGCTAGAATTAATGGTTAATGGTACTTCCTGAGATTGATGAATGTGTGTGTGAAAACTAAAACTTACTATGTTCCGATAACTCTACTTGTATTTCCATGAGTTTGATCAAACATAAAAATTCTTGCTAGGCCAAAGTCGGATATCTTTGAATTCATATCTCCGTCTAATAGCACGTTGCTTGCTTTCAAATCACGATGTATGATTTTGAGATGTGAATCTTCATGAAGATAAAGTATTCCACGTGCTATTCCTCCTATGATCTTATAACGAATGAACCAATTCAATAGGTGCTTCTTCTCTGGATCTGCATAGTATTAATTAATAATAGAATTTAAGCCCTCAAGTCAGGTTATTAGTTTGATCTTTATACATCAATGAATAAAATCTTGATTGAAAAAAAAAAAAAAAAAAGCCACTTTCATATTTAAAACTAACCAAACAAAAAGTAATCAAGACTCTTATTGGGAACAAATTCATAGATGAGTATCTTTTCTTCTCCCTGCAAACAAAACCCTAGCAGCTTTACTAAATTTCTATGCTGAAGCTTGGCAACCAATGCAACCTCATTCTTGAATTCTTCACTTCCTTGTGTTGAATTCTTTGACAACCTCTTCACTGCTACCTCTTGCCCGTTTGGAAGCCTTCCCTGAACACCACCAATATATAATATGTATCATTATCAATCAACAATTAAAATTTATTAGTGTCTAAAATGAAAATCCATTAATGATATATATGATGCAGATTGAAAGACTGGGTAGATAGATCAGATTTTACCTTGTAAACGGCACCATATCCCCCTTTACCAATTTTATTATCAGGGGAGAAGTAATTTGTGACAGCTTGAATGGTACTAAAATCATATTGTGTCGACTGCTCAGTTGGAATATCAGTCATACCTGCTACATACATGATATATAAATGGATGGCAAGAACAGATAGAGGAACTCAATTGATCTGATAATCACAAGCAATATATATATATATATATATATATATATATATATATATATATAACCGGTCAGCTGCCGCATATGCTACTATATATTTTACCACTAGTTTTCTCCTTCACATTAGAATGTGACTTGTTTGCTCTTCTCATTTTCAAGAAATAGAAGCATAAAACGAAGAGTAGTATCCCAATGGCTGACACTATAGAGGCTGCAATAATAATAATAATCACTTTTGCAGAAGATTTTCCTTTATTCCCTGCACGAATTGAATAGATTGAAATGAACCAAATTACTCATCACTCTGACCTTGTTTGGTAACATAGTTAATTAGTTTATTCGTCAATTTTGGCTTATTTGACCACTATTAGCTGTTTGACTTGGTTAAACAATCAATATGAATCTTATTGCTCCAAAATGCTAAAATTTAAAAAATTGTTCAAAATAACTTTTTCTATTAGCTTTTTGAGAAAAGTCATTTTGCATGTAATTAGCTATTAGTTAATTTACCAAACATTTTTCTACAATTAGGCAATCAGCTAATGTTATCAATTAGAACTAGTCAAACCCACTAACCCAATCAACTAACAACTATCAGCCAAACAGCCTTCTGTTTTTCTATCATTTTTCTAATGGGGAAAAGAAAAATGAGAAAAACTGTAGAAAAATGCACTAAGCAGGTTTTAAGAATCACCGTACCATCAAGTTTACCTTTGGTGGTAGCGGAATTGGGAACTATAGTGGGTGCCGCCGGTGTTCTCAAGGCGGAGAGATGGTAGAAAGCGAAGATCTCATACCTAACGTTACAATTTGGGAACACAGCTCTAGCACCTAAGGCTCCAAAACAGTAACGAGACAGCATTGAAATAGCATTTGTGAGGCAAATCTGACAGTCATCGTTAGAAAGGTCAGGAGTACACTGTCCAAGAGCGTACACCGTCTCAAACACGCTAAAATTTGCTTCTAATACTGCAAATTTCTTGTTTCCGGTGGATAACGCCGCCGGAGTGATTAACTGACCCATCATGTTTTGCACCAACTGAATGAACCCATTTGGTTGGGTATCGTTGTCACCCTTGCTTGTCACTGTGAAGTAGGTTGATGTGTCTAATATCCCAAACATGGACTTGTGCGAGTAACGCAACATGCACTCATCGAACCAAATAATCGCCGGCGTTGCGCCGCCGCAAAGCTCCAATATCTCCTCACGGGCATCTCCAATGCAGTTGCGGCAAGCGTAGGGGGGGAGGTCGCCCCGGCACAAGAACAAGCCGTGCAGGGTGTCGTTGGAACTCCCGTCGCCGACTGTGGTGTGGTAGAAGCCATTGTCTCGGGTGGCATTGGAATAAAGATTAGAGAGAAGAAGGTCAAGGTTGGCTCTATAGGTGCTGTTAGGAAGAGTGTAATAAGAAGAAATTATTTTTGGGCAATTAATTCTTAGACTAAGATAAGGGATACCTTTGGTGATGTCAATGAAGCTCATCAACAACCAAAACCAAATCATGACCATCATCGTATAGTGAGCAACATATAATAATCACTATATATATATATGGTCGTTTTATTTGTTGTCGTGGCGGGGAATAGCGTGAAGAAAGGAGTAGATAAGAGAGGAGTTGATCGAGTTGTGGTTGCTCAGATTTTTATAATTATTACGAGTACTCCTGACTATGTTTTTATTAAGGAAAATTCTTGGTGTACTCCCATTTTATACTCTCAACTTGTACTCCCTCTCACATGTTTTTGATGTAGACATTTTTCTTTGGACCCACATGTTGAAAATAATCAATCCTGACTTGCCACATCAGAGAGTACAAATGAGGGAGTAGAATTTGGGAGTTCATGTAGTAAAACTCTTTTATTACCAGAAATGGTCCTAACTGGCAATTATGGACACGACCAGTTAACACGACACGAAAATAACAGATTAGTGTTTAGCCTTAATGTGTCCCGGGTCATTAACGGGTTGACCCGTTAAGGACCCGTTATGTTTCGTGTCTTAACAGGTCAACCCGTTAAACCTATTAAGAACCCGTTTAACCCGTTAATATTATCGTGTTAACCCGTTAACACGAACCCGTTTACCAAACATGTTTATAACTCGCTAAAAATCATTGTCATTTATGTAAGAACCATTGTCATTATTGAGATTACAAAAGATATTATGAACATGACTAATGATGAATTTATTACATGATGAATTGAACTATAGGTTTTATTTCGTTTTTATAGAACGTAACTTTAAATTTTAGTTTTTAAAAAATATTAATAGAAATAGCGGGTTTAAACGGGTTTTGTGTCATATCGTGTTGACACGACTTGAAACCTGTTAACAAAACGTGTCTATCGTGTCAACCCGTTAACAAATCGTGTTCATGTTCGTGTTAAAAATTTGAACCCGTTAACCATAACGTGTTGTGTCCGTGTTTAGCCTTATCGTGTCGACCCGTTAACGGACCCGTATACACGAATTGCTAGGTCTATCCTAACCATTAAACGTCCGTTAATTCGAGACTAAATTAGTAATTTTGCTATAGTCAAGGGACTATTTCGGTAATTAACTTTCAGAGAAAATGGTGTATGTGATGAAAAGAAACGGCATATGTTTCGCGTCGTTCTACACCGTCCGCAAAAAGTAACTTTGATTGTATAACATATTCAGTTTCATTTTGTATACACTGCAATTTAATTTCAACACAACTACGATTTCATTTGGATATAAGTATATAACTACAGTTTCATTCGACATTAAACACTCAAATATGTAAAACTGTTATTCAATTTCATTTTATATACACTATAGTTTCATTACAATACAACTACATTATCATTTCGATATAACTACAGTTTCATTGCAAAATATACACTCAAATATGTAAAATGTTATTCAGTTTCATTTTATATACACTGCAATTTTATTTCAACACAACTACAATATCATTTCAATATAACTACAGTTTCGCTGGATAATATACATTCAAATATGTGAAATTGTTATTCAGTTTCATTTTGCATACACTGCAGTTTTATTTCAACACAACTACAGTTTCATTTCAATTCAGTTGCAATTTTATTTGATAATATAAAAACAATATGTAGACAGTTTCATTTTAAATACACTGTAGTTTCATTTGGTAACTAACACACCAAAAATACGCGCTCCATTATTAAGATATAACAGCTACCATTTCTTTACTTAAAAAAACGGCACCGTTTTTGAACTATGGTTCACAAAATTTTGTGGACCATGGTCCACGATATAACTACTGCTGAATTGATATCGACGGCCGATAGGATTGGAACTCTGATCTGATAACGCCGTTTGTTGCGGAAAAGTGACGTGCTATGTACTATTTCAACTCCTTTTTATTTCTATTTTTCCTATTTATTGACTTAATAATATGTTTTGATTGGTTTAAGATAAAGCTCGTGGTCCATTCGTTGTCGGCACTCGTGACTGACTGACTGTCGGTCTGGCAGCAAGTAGTTCCGTTCCTAATTGTCTAATCTCACTGGTCTAAATGAGTGACGTATTGGAAATTTAAAAATTTTATTCCTTAACTTATTTTATCCGCCATAATTATTATTTAATGATTAATTCAATTCATATTTCTTTCGATATTTTCTTTATATATATACAATGACAATTGAATGAGCTCATATCACCAGTTAAAAATCAATGAAAAGGAGAAAATTTATAGTAACATTTTTTGTAATTCTGTACACTACGCGGTGGTCTGTGATGCACCATCACGTGGCTGAAAATCAAGAAAAAAGCGGTGACATGTATATTTCTATGGTGCACTAAGTAGTGGTATGTGTTGCACTAAGCATTGTTGTGTGGTGCACTAAGTCATGGTTTGTGGTACACCACCAAGTGGCTAAAAAATGCAGTAGGTTCGATTACACGTTTAGTATTGTTAGACTAACGGGTCTATTGAATTCGTTGATATATCTCGTGACCAAATGAGTTGACACCCCCTTGAGTGGTGCAATAAGGGTTGTCTGTGGTGCACATAGTAATACTTGATGGTGCCTTGGACTCAAAGCACCACCAAGCACATTCAAATGACCAACATATCATTGACATTATTATCAAAATGACACCGCATTTTTTCTATTTTTATTGATTTTCAGCCGTAGATATGATCTCATCCAACGACCACGATATGTTATATATATGTGTGTGTGTGTGTGTGTGTGTGTGTGTGTGTGTGTGTGTGTGTGTGAACAATCTCATATTCCAGTGCAATCAAAGTACATATGAGGTCCATGTGCTATAGTGTTTTGTTCAGTTTAGTCCTTTTACTTTTATTTTATTCAATTTAGTCCATGTACTTTAAAAAATGATGCAATTAAGGACAATAGTTAACGGTGTTAATATTATCGTTAACTTAGCTTATGTGGCGCTGAAATCATCACTACTAAATCATGATATTTATATTCTAACTCATATGTGGCGCTGAAATCATCACTACTAAATATTTAAAATCAATTATTTTACCACCAATATATTACATTAATATGTCAAAAATAAATAATTACAAGCATGATGACATCAAGTGTTCAAATCTCATTGGAGCATGGTTGTAATTACTTATTTAATGTAATATATTGGCGGTAAAAATAATTAATTTTAAATATTTATAAAGTAATATATGAGTTGGAATATAAATATAATGATGTGACAATGATGATGTCAGCATCATGTAAGCTAAGTTAACTGTTATATTAACACCGTTAACTATTGCCTTTAATTGCACCACTTTATAAAGTACAGAGACTAAATTGAACAAATAAAAGTAGACGGACTAAATTGAACAAAACACTATAGTAGAAGGATCTCATAAGTACGGGAGAGGAATTCTCATTTGATCATATATATATAGGTTAAAGTTCCAGTGCGGGTGAATGCTTCCCGTGCGGTTGTGCAGGTGATTAATGTGCGCGAGTTTTGTACTTAATGTGCGTGAGTCTTGTGCTTAATGTGCGTGAGTTTTGTACTTAATGTGCGTGAGTCTTGTGTGTAATGTGCGTGAGTTTTGTGCTTAATGTGCGTGAGTGTGTACTTAATGTGAGTTGTTGTGTGAGTTGTTGTTGAAACTTTAAAGTGCATGGGTTTTACGCTTAATGTGTGTGAGTTTTGTGCTTAATGTGCTTGAGTCGTGTGCTTAAGGTGCGTGAGTTTTGTACTTAATGTGCGTGAGTGTGTACTTAATGTGAGTTGTTTTTAAAACTTAAGGTGCGTGTGTTTTTGTGATTAACATGCGTCACGCTTGTGCTTTACATGCGTGAGACTTGTACTTAACATGGGTGAGGCTTGTGCTTAACATGTGTGAAGTTTGTGTGCTTAATGAGCGTGTGTTGTGTACTTTAAGTGCGTCGGATTAGTGCTTAACGTGCGTCCACTCGCACAATCGCACGGAAAGCCTCAAATGCACCTGATTCCTTTTATATATATATATATATATATATATATATATATATATATATATATATATTTATTTATTTATATTTATATCTATATTTATATATTTATTAAAGACTCCAAATAAACAAAAGGTCTTGGGCGCTGCCCGCGTCGTCCGCTGCCCCAATTCAAACGAAGAGGAATTTTATGATTTTGTCTGGTTGATTCAGAAAATATAAACATACCTTTAGGGTTGGGGATTCAGCCTTTTGGGGTAAGAAAATATAAACATACCCGAAAACTAGCTTAAAGCATAAGAATTACTTAATAAATAATAATAATAATGCAATAAATTGAAAGGATGAACAATATTGTTATGGGAATATTGCGTCTACATTATAGGAATATAGCCCATATTTATAGGGGGTTAATATTATGTACTTGATCCTCTCGAACCCTAATATGACAGGTAAGTAGTGGATTATCAAATTTGGGATAAGCTTGAGAAGACGGCAAATTATTCTATGCATCTATATGCAGTTATGCATCATGCATGGTGCATACGGATGCAAAAACGATGTCGTTTTGCCAATGTTGCAAAAATCGCGCCTAGGCGCCATTGCGCGGCCGCGAAGAAGGCCGAAATCGGCCATCTCCGCGGCTGGCCGCCTAGCCGACTGAACCGGCGCCTGAACCGGCGCTTTTATTTTATTTTATTTATTTATTTTTTTTTACGAAAAGTTCGGGAATGCATAACTTTTGACGAGAATGCATAACTTTTGACTCGGTTGTCTGTTTTGGACAAATTTTTTTTTCAAATCGCGTATTTTTTCGAGATCTATCCACCGCAAACGCCGAAGGCGGTTTGGTCCACTAATTTCTCAAAAAAAAATGATTCTTTAGCTCTTAATTTTAGTTTTTTTATGTATTTAGATGGTTTAAACAATCTTTTGAACAATTTTACAACCACTTTTGTAAATAGTTTCTAAGAAATAACTATGAAAACCTTATGTTTTAGTACTAAATTTTAAAAAATTTTAATTTTAAAATTTTTTTTAATTAAAAAAATTAAAAATAAATTTAAAAAAAAAAAAAAATCGGCGCCTAGGGGGCGCCTAGCGTGTTTTGCAACATTGCGTTTTGCATTAAAATGCACGTTCTAC